TTCCTGTGGAAAAACACAAATAGCTCCCCTGGATCTGTGCAATACAGGATCCGGTCCATGCCATTGGCCTGTTAAAACATCTTTCCACATAATAGTTTCAGTACTTGCGACAGCTTTGGAGGCGTGCCTGTCGGCAGCAGAGTTTCCAGCCTCATCCAGCACCAAGAAATTTAGGGTAAACATTACCAGAGACAAAGAAGCCCCAGGCTTTAATGTTGGAACTAGGGCATTCTTTTGTTTTTGAAGATAACTTTTAAGGGTGCCATTAGCACGTTCCACAATTCCTTGTGCTTGTGGATTATACGCTAATCCTGTAACATGATTAACTTGCATCATAGTGCAGAACTTTTCAAATGAATTTGAAGTATAGGCAGGCCCATTGTCTGTTTTTATTCTACCATAATCCCAAATAAAGACCCATTGCTTCATCAGCTGGAATGTGGTGAGGTCTCCTCTTCATTTCCTTTCTTCATTGAAACCTAGTTTATTTTGTTCTATTTTCATTTTTTTGTTGTTGTTTATTCATCCCTTTTGCCAATTAATACCTTACTTTCTAAGTAAGTTTTTTCTTAATCATGTAGCTGGTGACATTTATCCCAACTAGCCTTACAAATCAGAAAACTACTGTCTTGACATAATAGCGCCTCACAGAGCTCCCCCCCCCGCCAAGTTTTGCACCTCGGGACGGGACATTATACCCAAATGAAGTTTTTCGCCAACAGTAGCCTAGACCAATTAGGCAGGAATCAGTTTGAAATCATTCGCCATCTTGGGCAGCAGGGGGTAGGCTTTCCTTATTATTATTCTTGTTTCTTTAAAACTTAAATTGTTGCAGTATATGTTTGACCACTTGAGGGGGCAAGAAGAATGCAGAGCGCTGGGCCCGGGTGGGGTAGGTAAAAAAAAGAAGCAGTCTTCCTCAGGGCATGTGCTGGGGGCAAGCGAGGGAATAGGGAAACCTGCTAGTAACAGTTTACCCCTGTGTAACTCAAGCTGTTTTTTCTCAGTTGAGGAATAGAAATCTAGAGGCTAAAATGAGCATTCAGTGACCAAGAGACAGAGCCGAAACCACTGCACAAGCTTCCTCCGTTCAGTTCTGGCACTGTAAGTCCAGCCTGGAGCCACCTTCTTGGGTTCCACCAGGACCCTGCTTATGGCTAGGAGGGCCTTGGGCAAGTTACTAAACCTCTCTCTCAGTCTCTTACGGATAAAGTAGGAATAATAACAATACTACCTTATGGGGTTGCCGTGAGAGCTAGATGAGGTAATGCGTGCCAACACTTATCATAGTACCTGCATATGCTCAGTGAAAACATTAGGCATTATATTTCCACAGAGTGTGCTGGCCCAGGGATGTCTCTCGCAGTGAGGTTCCCAGGCTTTAGCGCGATCGGAATGATCTGGAAGATTTGTTAAACGGCAGGTTGCTGGGCACCATCCCAGTTCTTCTGACTCAGTGGGTCTGGGGATGAGGCTCATCTTTGCATTTCTCCTAAGTCTCCCAGGGACTATGGTGCTTCAGTTCCAAGGAGCACCCTTTGAGAACTCTTCTTCTGGCAGCTTCTTTCTTTTCTCAGTGCCCTTTTCTCTACTCCTCCTCCATGTTTTATTCATTCTATCCCTGGTTACTTGTATCCCAGGATTTGTTTAATCCCTGGAGATAGCCAGACAAGTAAGACAATATTTCCCACCCAGGTGCTCGTCGTTGAACACCAGGAGAAGTACCTTCTCTAGCAGAAGAGGCACAGGCCAGGGAGTAGACACCTGAAACTCAGACACAAGGCAGCTGGGGCCAGGGGATGGGAGGTGGAGGTGTCAGAAGATACTTAAGAGGAGTGGGAGGGGCATCCAGACAGGGCCGTGGTGTCCAGAGATGGAGACTAGAGGCACATAGCCTGTTGGATGGACCACCAGGACTGATGAGCAGGAAGGAGAGGCCGGCAGGGGTGTGTGATGGAAGCACAAACAGGACTCAAACAAGGAGAACTATGAATTTCCAAGTCCTCAGGAAAAGACTGACTCAGGCAGGGATGTGATGAGCAGGAGCTCTTCAAGAACAATTACTCTACCTGGAAGGAAGCCATTGAGGGAGCCCCTCAGAAGGTGTAGAAGGCAGGAAAGGGGACATTTGTGATGGGTGCCTGGAGAGACATGGAAGACCAGGGTCGGTGGGCTCTTCATAGTCTCAAGAGAACAGTAGGCTGAGTAGAGGGTACATAGGCAAAGGGGCATTTAATCCCCAGCTCTGTCATCTGCAGGGTGTGGGCCATGGGTGACCCAGTAGCCTTTGCTGCCCCTGCTTTCCATCTGTACTCCTGAGGCAAGAGCATGCCAAGGGTGCAATGTCTGTATGCTGGATGGTGTGCACATCCTGATATTATGTGTAGAATGAGGCAAAGGCAGATTTCTGAAGAGCATGATTTATGGAGGTTCAGGAACCCATGAGTCCCCTGCAGACACATAAGCAGATGGCTGGGAAATGGCCAGTGAGAGCTTCTCTAGTAGGACCCTTGCTGCCAGGAGGAAGTAGAAGTGAACTAGCAAGAACATGTGCGTGCAAAGGGACTCAGAAGAAACGCAAACAATTGATGCTGAAGTTTCTTTAGAAGTGTGTGCTCTGGATACCAAAAGGTTTGTTTCCTAAGCCAAATAAAGCAGTGGCCTGGCCAGCTGCGCTGAAACATGCTCACCCAGACACATTCAGGACCACCAGAGTACCAAGAAAGTACAAAGAAAGTTCTTTAAAACCACTTTGCTGACATCTATTTTTCTTGAGAAGACAGACCCTTTTTACCTTCCCACCTGCTTTTAGTTAGTTTTAGATTTCAGATTTCATGTCTTTATATGCTGCTAATTTAGTGCTCCACAGAAAGTATTTTGGGACATGGCAGGGGGTTGCTTATCTCTCAAGAGGAGGGATGTATCTGACCTCAGATTGGAGGATGTTTCCCAGAATGAAGGGGCTAAGAGCAAGCACAAATAACAAGCACAGATTCACTTTATTAGCATGGGGATGGCAACAGGACTGAGGGCTCAATTTTTAGCGATGGTCTGCTGAATCCAGGACACATAGTTGCACACCTTGGTGTAGACTCCAGGAAGATTCTTCAGAGCACAGCCATAGCCCCAGGAGACGATTCCTTGGAGTTTTCCATTGCAGACCACAGGGCCACCAGAGTCACCCTGGAGGGGAGGGACAAATCATATAAAGAGGAGATGAGAGGGAATACAGCTATACTTCCTCTGAACTTAAATGCTCTGGTCAGCTGGCTCCACATCCTTCTCATGGTTGCCCACTCTGTGCCCTTGCTATGCAGATGGTATGCAGGTCTTCATTTCTCCATGATGTTACCACATGGAGCTGCCAGCCTCAACACCTTGGTCACTCACATCCTACTCCCAGGACATGGGGGTACATGCGGGGCTTCAGTCACCTGGCAAGAGTCCTTGCCTCCCTCAAGGAAGCCAACACAGAACATGTTACTGGTGATCTCTCCAGGGTAGGAGGCTTCACACGCAGACTGACTGAGCACAGGGGCATCCAGGCACTGCAGCAAATCTGGGTTGTTGACTTTGAGAGGAAGGAACAGATCAGAGAAAGAAGAAACATGAGTCAGACCAAGCTGGGGAAAAATCCAGTGCCTAACACCATGGGTAGCCACTGGAGAGCACCCCAAAGATATAAGCCCCAGAAAGGAACAATGTGTGTCAGTTCCCAGCAGGACCATTGCTGCTTTCCATCCTGGAAGTAAAGATATCATGTTCTAGATTTATCCTCTTTTGATTCTGAGGATCAGCACCTCAGGAACTCAGCTCTCTGTGGTGGCCACTGCAGAGTTTTGCGTGTAGTGGGCACTTGAAATGTGTTTTCAGGCTGGAAGCAAATGGATTCAAGTTTATAGACATGCCTGGTTCTGGGAAGTATGGGGAGAGAGGGGAGTAGGAGGGTGAAGGGTCTCACTCACCACCAGAGCTCAAGGTGTTGCCCCAGCCAGAGATGAGGCACCGAGTGCCAGCAGACACACAGGAGGAAGGCAGGGATACGGTGGCCACCCGGGAGTTGAGGGATGCGGGTGAGGCAAGCTTGATCAGCATGATGTCATTGTTGAGGGTGTTGCTGTTGTAGTTGGGGTGGCGGATGATCTTGGCTGCATTGATAAACTGTTCATTCCCCTCCTGGACGTTGATGTTGTGCTCTCCCAGTCTCACTTGGATGCGGCTATTGGGAAGAGGTGCAGGGTGCAAGATTTCTTTCTGTGGTTCAAGACACCCCAGAATTCTCAAATGCCCTGCTTAGGGGGAACTATAGGGGATCAGGATGGAGTATGTGGCAGGATCACAGGAGCAGCAGAGGACTGGTGGATGGTGCTGGTGTGAGACCCAAGCCCTTTCTGCTACAGAGGTAGGCAGTGTGGAAGAGGATGTGGTGTGGAGGGGGACACAATGTTCAGGAGATGGAATGTGGAAGTGATGGGGCACAGAATGTAGCTGGGGATGACTCTTAGCTGCTATCCTGAAGCTGCCTCCCACAGTCCAGCTGGCAAACTTGTCTGCCTTTTTTACTGATCTGTACACAAAAATGATCCTTTGGTGCTTTTCTGACCAGCATCCTTTGCTGTCTAATGAATTTGTTTGGTGAGAGAGAGGCTTGTTATTGTGTGAATCTCTTCTACTGCATGTGAGCTGCCTCTAGCAACTTCTATTTTCCACCACCTTTCCCATCTTCCTTCCAACCTCACCTGTTGCTAGGGCTGTGGGCTCTGCAGTCAGGGCCCCAACACTTACGACTTGTAGCAGTGAGCCGCAGACACCACCCACTGGTTATTGATGAGGGAGCCTCCGCAGAAGTGGTAGCCACTGTTCAGGGACACCTGGTAGGGGACGGAGTATGCCGCACAGGTGTAGCCCCCAACGATCTTGTCATCATCATCAATGGGGAAGGCAACTTGAGTAGAGAAAGGGAGGAACCAACTTAGCAGGATGTTAGAAGGGTGGAGACTTCAGCCCTGTGATAGCTTCCTGCTAATTATGATTTTTTAATGAGCACCGTGATTATAAGCAAACAAGGAACACTGTCAACCCCAGTGGACACCACTGCTTGTATTTGTCCCAGGTACCTGTGCCTGCAAACACATAGCTGGATATCCTGCATGAGCTCAGATCTCCTCTGCATGTATCAGGGTGAGGGCACAAGAAAAGCTCTCACCATGCATTGGGTGGGATATGAATCAGAATGTGGTTGTCTCCCCACTGAGTGTTTCTCTCTCACATTCATCACTGGTCTGCTCCCCATTGTTGCTTGAGCAACAGGTTATCAGCATAGCTAGGATAATCTTCCAGCCGAGTACAGCCATCGTACCCAGCTTTCCCACAGCCCAAATCTACACAGTGAGGTCAGAGTGGATGATACCAGCTCACAGGCCCATTTAATCATGGCAAAGGGAGACACTAGCACTGCCAAGTAGAATAGTTATTCTTGACCTTATCTGCAAATTAAGCATCTAATGCACAGGCCATATCCCAGATAGAAAGTCTCAATTTCTAGGGGTGAGTCTCTAGGAAGAGCACTTTTCAGGCTCCATAGGTGTGTTCAGGGTTGAGAAAGGCTATGGTGGACCTATCCTAGAGGTGTCAGAGACAAGCTGTGAAACTACTGCTTCATTTCATATACTCTGTCCACCTGACCTCCCATTCTAGCCTCCCTGACCTCAGCCCATGGTAGACGGAATGAAATCAGGGAAAAGGAGAGAGGTAAAGCTTACCAAGAGCCCAAGAAGGTGGTCAGGAGAGGTCCTGGATAAGGTAAAGCAAGTATCAGAGTGCAGTAAGGTAGGAGGGACAGCAGTGATGGTAGGGCACAAGGTTTCCAGGAGAGGATGGACAGCCCCAGGCAAGGCAGGGGACTCACCAGCAGCTCCCACAAGGGCGAGGATCAGAAGTGTGCTCATGGTGGCAGATGTATAGTTGAGCAAGTGGTGGAGTTGTATTTATACTTCTTAGGAGGGAGAGAAGTTACCAAGGTAGAGGGTCATGCTCCTTCCTGCACAAACACACCTGTAGCTTTTCCCTTCCAAGAGTCTTGCATCAGCCCAGCTGTGTATGGCCACTCTGTGTGAGGTGATAAGAAAAGTTACCTTCTGAGGCTGAGAGGGAGAGCAGCTTATTGCTTGAAAGGATGCCATGCTGAGGAAAAGAGGGGAAGCCAATCTCTGCATCTACAAGGCTGGGCTTGCTTAGGTTGAGAGATGAGGGGTTGGAGGAAGAAAAATGGCCTGTGTCCTTAGAAATCCTCTGGACTTGTGGGATTCATTTAATTTACTTTGAGAATGGATTAATACTGGCATCAAGCTTGGCTGTTTGGGATCCTGGAGTCCCCAAGGGAGGAAAGAAATGTTTAAGACTTACTCCCATGAGCATGAAGTCTCTTCTCTGCAATCTAACACCCTGGGCAAGAAAGTCAAATCCAATAACTTTGAGGCCAGAATTACACCAAGGTGATGAGAGGGAGACTCAGAGTTCTTTAGGAGTCTGGGCTTCAAGCTGACTTTCTTTTTCTACCAAGGCTATAAATGGAAGTGTCCCGAAGGAGTGAAAGTTAAGTAGGAGCTTACTAGATACATTAGAGGAATGGAAGACCAACATGGCATTCCTCCTCCTCCTCAGTGTCAGGTCATTTGTCTCTCTCATTGCTCATGCATTCAAGGGCTTTCTTAAAACAGCCTTTTGGTTTCCCTCATGGTCTGTGCCACAAGAGGATGGCAACTGCTATCTATACCTGACAGAAGCAGACAATTGGAGCTAGAATGATATGCCCAGATCATATAAGAAAGAGTGTATTGAATCTGTAAAACAGTTTTGGGAGTATGGCCATTTTCCCTATGTTGGTTTTCACCCAAGAGCAGGGGATATCTTTTAATTTTCTGATATCCTCTTTGATCTCTTCTTTCAGATTATTGTGGTTTTTAATGTAAGGATCCTTTACTTCCCTTGTTAAATTGATTCCTAAGTATTTTATTTTTTAATGCCATCTCAGTCAAAATACCATTACCATAACCCAAAGAACTAGAGAAAATAATTCTAAAATTCATTTGGAATCAGAAGAGACATAGAATAGCTAAAGCAATTCTTGGCAACAAGGGTAAGACAGGAGGCATCACAATCCCTGACTTGAAATTACACTACAAAACTAGTGTAATAAAGACATCATGGTGCTTGCAAAAAACAGACCTGAGTCTCAATGGAACAGTCTAGAAGATTCAGAAATAACTCCAAACACACTCATCCACCTTTATCCTTAACAAAGGGGCCAAATAGACCAAGTAGAAGAAAGATAACCTCTTTAATAAGGGGTGTTGGAAAAACTAGTTTTCTACATGCTAAAGACTAAAATTAGACCCATGTCTCTGGTCACGCACTACACTAAAATTAAATTGATCCAAGATATGAATATTAAAACAGAAATGCTAAATCTGTTCTAGGACAGAATGAGAAGAACTCTTGAGGACATAGGTGTAACCAAAGACTTCATGAACAGAACTCTAATTGCATGAAAAATAATACAAAAAATCAACAACTAAAATCTTATCCTATTAAAAAGCTTTTTAAACTGCAAAAGAAATTACCAACAGAGAGAAGAGACAACTCACAGAGTTGGCAAAAGATTGTAGCTGGGTGTTCCTCTGACAGAGAATTAATATCTAGAACATAAAAAGAATTGAAAAAAATCAGACTAAAGCGGGGAGTGGGAAAGGGAGGGGAAAGGAAATAAGGGAAAAGGAAAAATGTGAAAAAAAGGAAAAAATAGAAACAAAGTCTTTGTAAATAGGGAAAGGTAAAGGGGGTAAAAGGAGGGTAGGGGTGTGGGGAAAAATAAGAACCAAGACATATCATGTAAAGGTACAAGATCCCAATGATAAGTCTAACTGTATTGTTTGCTTTAAATGTACCAATAAACTCAATGGGGAAAGAATCAGAACCCCCAAATTTAAAGACTTAATAAAAATGGGCATCTGAAATTAATAAACAATTTTCAACAAATAAATATATGAAAAAATGTTCAACATCACTGGTCATTTGTAAAATGCAAATTAAAACAATGCTGAGACTTCATCTCACTCCAAAAAAAATGGCTATTTTCAAGAAATCAACCAACAAAAAGTTTTGACAGGACTGCAGGAAAAAAGGAACCCATTGATAGGAATGCAGACTGGTGCAACCACTATGGAAATCAGTGTGAAGATTCCTCAAAAAACTAGAATTAGAGGTTCCATTTGCCTCATCTATTCCTCTTCTGGGTATCTTCCTGAAAAAATCAAAAGCTTCACACCACAGAAATATATGCACACTCTTGTTTATAGTGGCACAGTGTGTAATAGCTAAATATTGGAAGCAGCTCAAATGTTCAATGACTCATGAATGGATGAAAAAGATGTGCTCTTTTATACAATGGGGTACTATTCAGCCATAAAGAAGGATAAGCTTGAGACATTTGTAGCTAAATGAATGCACCTTGAGACTTACTCTTAAGAGAAATAAACTGGACATATGTAAATATCACATTGTCTCTCTGGTGTGAGAAACTGAAAGTGTAAATAAGAAAAAATGTACAATAGATATTGTGAAATAGGAAGAAATTGTTCAAAAGGAAAAGGTATGAAGGAGGAAGGGAGAGAAAAGAAAGATGAGAAAAGAAGGAAAAATGGATACAAAGATCTTGTAAATAAGGAGGGGAAAAGGGATTGAAGGGATGGGAGGGGATTGGGGGGGAAGAGGAATCGAGATATACCATGTACAGTGCAAATTCCCTATGATGAATGCGATCTATGATGAATGCGATCATTATGAATATCTAAATTGCACCACTGAAATTAATAATACAAGTGTAGACAGTGATAATCTGCAACCTGATTAGAGAACGAGCAGTAGGCAGACAGATTAGCTCAGGGTAAAGGGATCAAGCACTAGGTTCAGGAACAATGGTGTGGGGGAGGATTCCGAATCTTCTATTTTATGCAATGAAACTATCATCCTGGGCTCTGTACAAGGATCCACATTTGGAGTTGCCATGGCTACCAAGAATCAGCCCTGCAATTTATCAGGGGCACAACCTGACCTGAGGAGTGTAGAGACAGATGGTTCATGTGCTTGTGTAGTTCAACAATATGGGAGCCAATTGCAGGAGACTTCTGACAAGGCACTTCTCTCTCTGTCAGCTCCTCTAAGCCCAGAGTGGGTGAGGGACAGAAGCAAGCAAGGTTTATGTTTGGGTTCTGTAAAAAGTAGAAAAGGAATGAACATTTTGGAGGTCCTAAATAAAGTGAGCAAAGCTTAATTCAACAGTTGGTAATAGAACTGGAGGTGGCAGGGTGATGGAGCAAATGGAAACCAGAGTGAACTGCAGGAAATACCAATGTAGGGTTTGTAGAGTACCTGCTAGTGCCCTCACTGGGATGGTGAGGCCAACTTCTTTGTGCCAGAGATCCTCTATGGAAGACTCTCACCTGTCCACCCTGCATCCCTGTATTGCCTGATGGGCTCATACCCCATGGGTGTCTTAGTTACTTTTCTTGCACATTGGTAGTATGCTGCTTTTCCTTTGTGCTGAGCATCACAGTTTAACTTTTCACAAATATTTTAACTGTTACCTATGCAGGATGAAGTTATTTCCATTTACAGAGGAAGAGGCTGTGGCTCCGAGAGATTCTCTGCCTTGCCCCAAATGTCACCTAAAAATGGCAGTACAGCTTCACACCACAGGAAAACATGGCAAGTGTTGGGAAGTGTGGGATTTGCTGCAGGTGGCACCTCAAAGGTTTACCAGGGAATCAACCCACCGGAAACTAGCTGGAAAATTTTATATCTGATTCCATCCTGGCACTTGACTTCCTGGCAGAAATGGAACATCAAATAATATTTCACCTGGCATCTCATCCGAGAGTCTTACCTTACCATGGCCCCCGTCCCACATGGCCCATGTCTAATGCACTTTTCTGTGTTCACAAGTAATTGGCAGACACTTAGGAAGCCAGGTTGGGAAGTCTGGGGATGTTTCTGTGATGTCACTCAACATACTGCTTTGCTTTGTCTCCTTGCAGGGGGATACTTATAGGACTGCTGTTTTAGTGGAGGATAGAATTTTGCTCTAGGATCTATAGATACTGTGTGCACTGGACAGACAACCACAGGGAAGTATCATTGACAGAAGGAAACATAGGAAAGGGAATTTTGGATTGGCCCCCGAGCCTCTAACTCTGCCCTAAAGGGAATATCAAAGGGCAGCACAATTTCCTGCAGTAGAAGCTCACAAATTAGGTTTTTCCTGATATATTGTGCTCCTACTTACAGCCTGAGATCAGCTTTCTTCAAGGTAGGAATCACCTTTCAGGCAGAGGAGGGAGTTATAGATGAATACTTTACTACTTTAGATGAATAGGGTAGGTTCAGATCCAGCTTCTTAAACTCAATTTTCACATCTATGCAGTTCTTAATGACATTTATTTTGAGATATATATTCCTTTGTCTACCCCTTCAAGTCATGCTACTAGCTTGTGTTTGGTGTTTAGCCTATCAAACACCTGCTTTCCATTTATGATAACAGTGAATTGTCTGTTTCCTTATTCTACAACAAATATTAAGTCTTCATGGACCTTTTATCATATGCTTGTCACAACTACAGCTTTAAATGAAGAATCTAAAACTTGGAGTGCAAGAGACTTCTCCAGGAACACTCAAGTAAGGAATGCAAAGATAGTATCAGAACCTCTCTTTTCTTCAAACTCAGTTCATTTCCCAGTGCATTGCCACATGATGGAGTCTTTCCAAGATCTTAATTGACTGAAAATTACACTTTCATCAGATCCCAAATTACTGTTTTCTTTGCCCAGATCAGGATTTTCTGTTCAAATCTTTTTCAACACTTGGGCTCCAGCATCCCTATCCAGATTATTTTTTGGTGATACTGGGGCTTGTATCCAAGGCCTTTGCACTGAGCTACATCCTCAATCCTTTTTTAAATTTTATTTCACTTTATTTTTTTATTTTTGGAGACAATATCTTACTAAGTTCAAAGTTACCCAGAGTGGGCTTGAACATGTGATCTTCCTGCCTCAGCTTCCCAGAGTGCTGGGATTACAAGTGTGCACCACCATGCCCAGTTTTTATAGCCAGATGAAGTTACAGACTATCTTCCCTGCAAAGCCAAGCTCTCTTCCACTATTTTTTCATATCTCCCTAATGACATTACTTTCCATCCAATAAGAAACTGTTCTCTTGGATACCTCATCCTGGAAATAATGGAAAGTGAAGAGGGTGCTCTGTGATCCAGAAAGACCTGAAGAGCAAGACAAAGGCTTGGAAGGGCTGAGTGGTCATGGTTGATCAGCCAGTTGGAGTCACTCCCACTCATACTGTCTTGTTTCCTTCTCCTCATCGTTAACCATGAAGTGGCATTTGAGTATTTTATTGGTTCTTCAGGATTCATGCACCATACAATTTCTAGCAATTGATTCTTTCAGGTTGCTTAAAGATAGTTTGACTCCTGTAGTGTAAGAACGGCTCTTTCTGTTCCTATCACAGCCACTTCTTGTCCACTCCTTCCTGGCTTCCTGGAGCTAATTAGGTGATTGGAGAGTAAGCAGTAGGGTCCAGGATGAGTATCCACATAGGCTACTGTTACCATTGCACCTGTGAATTCAATGAAACTTAGAGCCTGATACGTGATGTTTGCATCTGTTTTTCTAAATCACATTAGATCCAGATTGAGGCCCATAAACCAGGTGTGGTGATAAGTCCAATTGGTCTGTTGGCTCCTTCTAGTCATTTGTCTTGTAAAAAGTCCAGACTCTGCCATGCATTTGGAAGGGAGCCAACTGGTGAGTCTACCTCGTTTAGGTTGGCTTGGACAGAAGCATCTTCAGAAGGCTCTGAAGGCTCAGAGCTGAGGGCTCCATCCACACAGACATCAGAAGCAATTTCCATCTGCTCAAGGCCACTTTGCTTGCTTGAGCAGATGGTTCTGGCCTTTGCCTCGGAAGAACCCATAGCATCTGTTCCATTTCCCAGTCCTAGGCAGCAGAGGGAGATCAGCACAAATCACTGTGCTCCTCCCTGTTTAAATATAAAGCTTTGTTCAAATGTGAGCTTGAGAGTTTTGTTTTCTTCCTGTGGAACAATTCAGTTAATTTAGATTATCTAAACTCAAATCTTTGGAAATTTTTTATTTCCAAAGAATTTATTACATCTCAACAAGTTCTAGGTCCTTGCTTTCATGGCATTTTTGTGTCCATTTATATACATGTGAAGAAACATAAGTATTGAAGAATATATATACATATACAGATGTAGCGATTAAATGTTATTAGAACTTGGTAAAGTGTTGATGTGGAGATGTGGATGTGCAGGTAGGGTGATCAAGAAATTCTCTTTGGGGAAATGATATTTGAGTTAGGACCAGAATAAGAAAAAGCCAGCCATGGGAAGGAGAGACTAAAAAGACTTTTATAGTTCACTTCTGAATCTATACTAAAAATAAGTCAACACACACAAATAACTGTATTTTTTTAGTTAAATAACCTTGTCCTCTAGCATATGGTTATTTACTTGGCCATTGGTTTTGATTGTAAAAACTTATGACCCAGGAAATGAACATTACTGAATTTAAATATTCTCATTAAAATTACTATAAATACATTTTTGATATGAGATGAAATATTGTTGGGTTAAGAGAATAAATTCTAAAATGGTCATTGTCAGATAATCTAATTCTATCAAAACTGATTATTTTTTACTTTTCCTCACTTTAATAACTATAAATATTACAATAAAACATAGATTTGATATAATTAAAACAACAAGAAGGAAAAATAATATATACAATTTTATAAGGGAGTATTATACTTAACCTTGAAAAGTATTGATTAATGGTAAAATGTCAATTATGACAGTGCTAATAAACTTAGGTACTGGCTACATGTTTTACCTTTACCAGACACAACGTCATGTACTTTACAGGGATAACATCCCATTCTTATAATAAACCTTCATTTAATAGATCTCATTATTATCCTAATTTTGTATGTGAGGCTAAGGCATACAGAAATTGTGCGACTTGTTCATGCTTACCCCAGTGATGAAGAAATAGAATGGAGTAGTGAACTCAGTCCTGTCTGTTGAGAGAGTCCAAGTCCTTAGCCACACTGCTTCACAATTTCTAAGCAGACAATTTTGTTATATTATAGGAAGTTCCCCCTGATGCAGGGCTTACCTCTAGGTGACTTTGTGGACCTCAGAGGGACACAGGAGTATGGAGCAGGAAGGGAAGCCAGCACTGAAGCAGGAGGCTAGCAAAACTTTAAAGCAGGTTAGGCCTCTTCCTCAGGGCCAAAGAGTCAACAAGTTAGAGTTCAGATGTGTAACTGAGGCAGGGAGCTAACAAGACTGTAAAGTAACCCTCTCATAGGAAATAAATAGGCAATGTACCTTTGGGGGTTGGGAAATAGTTTTTCAAAGGAGCAAGCTGAGGCACTCCTTTGAGCAAAAAGCCAGTGGTTAATCACAGCAGCAAGCCTACTCACTCCCTGAGATAAGCAAGCAGGATGTGCACAGAAACCAGGAAGGCTCTGTGGGAGTGAAATGCCTCCTTTGTGCAGGGTGACCCTGTTTGTGGAGTGGCCATATCTGCAGTCTATGTGCTTCTTTCTTATAATAAATTTTTATTTTATCTTTAAAATGGGTCCATGTATAATTTCTACTTGTATTCAACCAAGACTTTATGCTAGCTGGAGAAAGCAGCAGAGCCATTACATAAAATGAGTATAAACACAGACTCCTGTGGTCTAGAGAACCAGTGTGCATGGAAGGTGTAGAAGACCCACTGGGCCAGATCCAGGATGGAGCTGCACTGGACCAGGAGCTAGGATACAGGCAAGCAAGGATCTTGGAAGAACTGCATACTTACTGGAAAGATAAGCTAGAAAACAAATACCAAAGTGAGTAATATCAATAAAGAATATTATTTACTGGTCTCGAATTCAGATGTTATTTTTAAAATTTCCCCTGATTATTCATGGTCTTTGAGTAGTCATCACGTTGCAGTTTTGGATACAGTTTATATGGCCAAGATAAATACAAAATCATGAAATGAAATGGCATTGGGTCTGTAGCACCCCAAATTACTTGGAAGAGGCAAAAGCAAACATTTCCTGGAAAACCCACCTGTAGTCAAGTTTTTAAAGAGTTCCCAGAGATTAGTTCACAATATCAAATTACACAATGCAGAAGGAAATGAGCCAACCTGGCAGTCAGCAGACACTACCAACGAGAAAGCCAGATGTGAAAAGGCACCAGATGTTGGCATTAGTAAAAGTTCCAAACAGATGTATGACATCTTCAAAGAAAGAAAACAATTTAGAAATGCACAAGAAGAAAATCAGCTTTGAAAAATGGCCACTCATATCTTTAAAGACTCAGGAAAATTATAATTAATTTAATGTGAATAAGTGGCTTATCGAGGAAAAGATGTGAATTAATAAATGGAACAGTGGCCCTCAAGAAATCACCCAGAATTCAGCACAGAGAAGCAAAAATAGAAAATGCATACTGAAAGGGTAAAGAGCTTAGATAATGGGAAAGAAAGTTGAATGCAAGATAGATTTGCTCATTGAACCTGCAGGCCATGTTTCCCATGAAATGTGAGAAACCGGATGAATGGAATGAAATTCTCACTCTGTGTGAGGTTTCCCTTCACCACTACCTTTCAGAACCACATGTGTGCTAGTTAGACTGCAACACTGATTCCAGAATAGCATACAAGCTTAAAAACAGGCCCACAATTTCCATCAAAAATAGGGAATTTCTATTAAAGTCTAAATGTGGATTGAGGGTAAGGGAGAGAATGTAGGAGTGAGGATATCATGAGATTTTGAGATAAACCTTCAGAACTGATTATTCCTTCTCCCAGCTCTGCTGGAGGCTTTCTTATGTTATTATATAACAATGAACTGTTCTGTGCATGTCTGATTTGGTCATTTTTCAGATTAAATAACTCCTGGGTCTGAATACCATGATGAGGCATTCATCATGAGCCAGGAGCAACTTTTGTTTTTTTTTTTTTTTTTGGTTCCAGGGATCGAACTCAGGTCCTTGTGTTTGTGAGGCAGACAGTGGAAACACTGAGCTAAATCCCTGGCATAGAGCACCTTTTAAGGAAGAATAGTTGTTAGTAGGTAGAAGAGAGGAGGGCTTTATGTCTAAACTTTGCTTTTCCTTGTAGGACATTTTCCTAGGCAGGCTTGGAAGTCCTCCCACTTTGTCATTTGCAATTCTCAATGATGACTGAGGAAATCTAACATCTTAAGACAAAGAGGAAATGGTCAGAACAGCTTGACCCTATTCAAGGCCCTTAGAACAGGATGTCCTTCAGTTCTGTAGCCCAATATGTCATGTCACTCTGGAGTGGAAAGCCCAGAGTGGGCCTCTTACTGGAGTTCCCCAGAAGTGGTGCAAATGAGGCACGTGCAGGTGAACTTCCCCAGACCCTGGACAGCACCCCCATGTCTTGGGGGAATGAGCACTCCCTGTATCCTGGACCTCTGCTGTCCCTGCCACCTATATGTAAATAATGCACTCTATTTATGGTGATGTGTGCGTGTGTGTGTGTGTGTGTGTGTGTGTGTGTTCCATCTCACCGGATGCCACTGGTAGTAAAACTGAACCCCAAAATTCAGTGCTGAATGTACTTCTCACTGTTTTCTGGTTCTTTTATTGAGGAGTAAGAGATAAGGAGCTTCACAGATGAGCCCTGTGTGCTGTTGGCTATGTAGAATAATTGAGTCTCCTCAGTCTTGCCCAAGCAGCAGGAAGCATTCATCACAGGCTTGCTCTGTTGTCAAATCTCTCTTGCAGGTGGCCCAAGTTTTACAGATTGCACAGTTAATTGAGCAGAGTAGCACTATCAGATGCAGTGTATTGAAAGTCTAACTTAATGTCCAAAGAGGCCTAAGCATTGTAACCCTTTCTCCATGATGAATGATATAAGATGCATGAGTTTATTTTTCACTTTAGAGGAGATATTCTAACATACTCTAGAACTCCGGTGTACCTAAGCTCACCAATGTTGCAGATCTCTAAACTTTGGCAGCTTTTACATTGGTCTGGAATGCATGTGTCATGTTGAGGCATTTAATGTACTTTGTAGTAGTCCTGTTCACTAAGAACAATCAACATACATACAGTGCGATAGACCGACATGCTGTCGAAATGTTTAATGTCCTTCCAAAATATTTTGTGATAGAAAGCAGGCTTGAGATAAAATGACAGAAAATAGGATAAGTATACCCATGAGATAGAAGAGCTAAAGGGTATTTCTGACTCCACTGCTTGAAGGCAAACTATATCTGCTTGTCTCTACTGAAAATTCCTAAACACTCTTCTGTATGAAATTTTATCTTCAACATCCCAGGAGCTTCTCTTTCTGTCTGTGATGAAACCCTCTCTAGAAAGCCGTCCAGATTTTCTCTCTGTTCCCAGTCTACACTCAAATCCATGCTCACCCATAAATGCAAGTACAGCTGTCTCTGAACAGAAGCTGTGGTTTCCCCCATTCCACCTTGGTGGAGTCCTCAGGCTCCTTTAGGGGCAGTCAGGTAGGAGGGAGTTCTTGCTCAGTGCTTTGATCTGTGCCTAGCACTGTGTCTCCAGCACAGCAGTAGTAGAAGCTGCTGTCTTCGGGGAGTATATTGATCACAGTCAGAGTTGAGAATGTTAGGTTTGGGCGGCTGATGAGAAACTTGTCCTTGGAAAATCCACTCTCATATGTGGCCTCAGAGCCTTGATTTGCAGTTGCAATTAGCACCAAGCTCTGTCCCGGGACCTGCTGGTACCAGAACATCAGGGATACCTGGATGTCAGCCTGACACTGGATCGTCATGGAGGTCCCACTTTGACAGATTTCTCTGCTTGGCTTTTGATGGAGGATAACACCAAACACAAAGCCTAGTTCCAAAAAGACAGACCAGCTTGGGGTCAGACAGGCAGAAAAGTTTCAAGTTTGTTTACCTTATACTACCTCAGCTACCAAAGGACCAAAAGCACTGCCTCCTTTTTATTTTGTCATCTGTTATTCTGTTGGAATCCTGTAGTCTCACGTCTTGCCCTCATCCTCTGTCTGGTGGCTTCAGGTTTGGGGGTTAGAAAGTCTCCCCACATCTCTGCTCAGCATTAACATTAGCCCTAGACTTCTCATGAATCAAGGCTCCTACCTCGTAGCAGAAGCAGCAGGAGAGTCCACATCTTGAGCAATGTTTTTCTCCCCCCTGAGAAAAGGCACTAGGAAGTCAAACTCAAATTCATCTCACGATGGTATAGTTGCTTGCTTCCCTACCTTCTGTGTTCTTCTCTTCTAGTACATCGAGTTTCTGTAAAACATGGAACATTATTCTGCCCCCTAGTGGCTGAGAGTGGTTCTTTACTCAGGATGGGTATTCATTCAGGAGGCATCCCAGCGTGCCCCTGCCACGGGCCGGTCAGTTATCCAAGTCCTCATCGTCATTATGGAGGTGCTACTTGATGTGCTACTCTGGGTGTACAAGCAAAAATGTGATGCGATATTGAGTCCAAAGAATTAAAGGTAAATTTTTAAAGTATAGAGAAACTCTAATACAGAATTCCAATTGTCTGCTTTCACTGCTATTGTTGTCCTACACTTAATGCATGAGTTTTCTTCCAACATACATATACCGACAAAATTCCTCTTATTTTTGAATTCCATTTCCAAATACATGGAATTTTCACTTTTGTTGGACTTCAGCTTCAGGAATTCAATTAACGTCTTTACTCTTAACCTACTCATTTGTCAATTCACAAATTAAGCACATCCTCATTTCAGTTATCACGTTCATAACCACTTTGTTTCCCTCTGCTTAATCCATGCACGTTTGTAATAAGATTCCTTTTATTATGATTCAGCTTAGTATGAACTGTGAAGCAGATTAATCCTCGTGTAAAATTAGACCACAGTACCACAATCTTTTTCAGTTATTTATTGGCTTTTCATAATACTCTTTCCTCATATCAAACTATCTACATAGTTTATTTTGCATAAAAACAGAGCTTATTTTTGAGCACGTGCTCGGTGATTTGCATGTATTAGTATATTAACAAGCTACATTTTCAGATTGGTATTATCACTTTACCTTTTCAGTCTTTTTAAATTTTTGAATGAGATTAATGGGCTTCATTTTTGGCAGATTTGTGCAGGCACATAATATACTTTGATCATTTTCACAACCATTCACCCTTTGGCATTTTGGGGAGTGTTTCAGTATGTGTATTTTGCTCATATTCATTACCCCCTTGCCCTTACCCCTCCATCTTTTTCACTTCCTCTTGTCTAGTAATAGCCTCCCTTCTACTTTCCTGTCATCTTTTTAGAGATTCCACATATCAAAGAGAACACACAATATTTGTCCTTTTGAGGCTGGCTTATTTTTGGCTTAGCAGGATGGTCTCCAGACTCATCCATTTTCCTGTAAATGATCAAATTTTGTTCTTCCTTGTGAATAAATTATACTCCATTGTGCATATGGCCATATTGTCTTTATCCATTCACTTGTTGATAAGCATCTAGGCTGGTTCCATATATTGGCTATTTTTCCAAATTAGGAAATCTTACCTAGGAGTTTTAACCTGCCCAAGTTCACATAATCGAAGGAGAAGTGACAAAGTGAAGTCTCAAGTCTATGTCTGTGTGATACTGACACCCAAATATTCATGTCAATACTATCAAGGGTTGCCTCACTTTTCCAGTGCCCTGTACATTGTTAACTGGTGGGAAACTGAGTGCAATGGACCATTAAATTTTACATGGCAACTTGGATATTGTCAAAGGTATTCTTGGATTTTGTTTTATCCTTTTGGGTATGGCTGGATCTTTTCAGTGAGGCATTTAATTTGGTTTAATTCAGACTTCCAATTCTTTGATGCTACAGTGATGAAATCACTGTTCAGTATTTTTTTTAAGCTAATTGAAGTATCACTTCCACAGGTACAGTTCAAGCATTATTGTCCAGAGATTTGGTGAAAGTTTGTATGCAGAATACTGGCTTGCTGGTTTTTCATGAATTTTTGTTTGACTGGGGCCTGATTACCAGCAAAAATTTATTGGTGTAAATACAGAAAAGTTACCTTTCATCCAAATGTAGATATCCTGGTGACCTCTACTTGCTCTTGGTGGCTTTGCTATACCTTAAAAGAGGCTTTAAGCTTTTTTTGTCCTGAATTTATGTTTGTTATTTTTGGAGGGAGGGTCCTATAAGAGTCATCATGTCACTGCCACATTTGCTTATTCTTTTTAATGGATGCATAACAATCAGCAGACTTTTATGATTCCTTTCTATATGTGATACTTCTAAATAATCTAGATTTTTTTTGTGTGGTATCACTTTCTTCAGTACAGATTTTAGTTTTTGACAGGCCATGAAACAAATGCTAGAATTTATAAGTGAATTACTCAACCATACTGTATAGTGGATCCACAGCCTGTGTTTGGCAGTATTAGAAAATGTACCCCTGCAGTAGTCTATTTTATTCTTGACTGGTTGCTAATTAGTTCTACTGCCCAGCTGTTATCCCAAGACTGTTGCTATTCTAAGTTAGCTTTCCTATTTTTTGGCCCACGTGATTGCATTATATTTTGGTTTGCTCTCTCAGTTTTCTGGGAGCATACTATTCAGTAACTTCCTCCCTCCTTCCCTCCCTCCCTCTCTCTCTCTCTCTCTCTCTCTCTTTCTTTCTTTCTCTCTTTCTTTCTTTTCTTAATGTTAGTGATTCTATCCATACTCTGATGATCCTTGACTATGTGTGTGTGTGTGTGTTCATTTCTAAGAGTGAAGCAATGAAACCTTACTGGGTACCTAGAAACATAGCTAGTCCTTAGTTACCAGGAGATTTCATGTGAAAAGACTGCAGGTTCAGGCAACCAAGATATTGATTATGCCCAACGTAGCCTGTAAGCACTGCTGGCTGTAAAGAATTACCCCCTCAATTGGCTTGTTTTGAGAAGTGAGTCGACTGATGCCTACATGCCACAGTCAGAGTAACTTGCACCCAAATTCGTTCCCAAATTAAAACCTTCTTAACTAGAAAGACAAGGTTCTAACAACAACTCTATATTTTGTCTATTCTGTTCCTAATTTGAGAATGTTCTGTCTTGTCCTTTACAGGCCTTGATTGCATTAGTATCCATAGCAACTGCATGATTGCATGTACTCACATGTAATTCCCCTTTAACACATAATTTGCCTTTACTCCAATTGATTACCAATAAAAATTGGTGGCTTGGACTGATCAGTGCCTTTGCCATATGAGCAGTATTGGTTGTCCTGGCTCCACAGTGTTTTTTAAAAATCTCTTTAGTTCTGTCTTTTAGTTTTTTTGCTCTGCCTCACACTGTAGAATGGAGTAGGAGATCAGAACCTACTCTAGAGGTCCCTGCCTTAGGCACTTGGCATTTGAGTGGGACACTCAAACGTCTGTGTAGGGAGATGTGAAAGCACAAGAAGGCAGTAGTTTGGCCCAGGCTGTGGGATGAAGGGGATCTGGGAGGCAGTGAGTCCTGTGTCAACAGAGCCCCAGCACAGGTGCCTCGCCTGATACCCTAATGTAACTAACTTCTGTAGCCAAGGTCACTGCTGGCTGGTTTTAAAAACTTGTATAACCAAGGTCATTACTGGCACGTAGTCACCTTTGTGTACTTTGGTATAAATGTGAAATAAACAGCTGACAATTGCAGCAAGAGAGGGAGACAAAAGAGCTAAGGACTGCTGCTTGCGTAGGTCTTCGAGGCCTAGGACTGCTGTGTGTGTACAGCACCAGAGAGCCACAACGGCAGCTAAGCAGATGGACTGTGGCTTAAGTGGTTGAATGAAAGGTGTTTCCACAACTCTGTGTCTCTTCTTCAGGCTACCCAAATCGCAAGTGAACCTCCCCAGCCTGGGCCAGGACAGTCACTTGTAGAAA